ATGTCATACGTGGGGGCACGGGCCTCAAATTCAAATTCGGCCGCCACGTGCCATCGATGAAAAATATCGACAGAGGAGCGGCGGCTATGTTTCAGGAGTAGGCTACTAGATGCCCACTGACGACATATGGGAAAGGTAGTGGTAGTTCAACGAATAATAATTCAACCCTTTAAAATTCAGTTTCGAAGGAAAAAGTAGTGAGTCGTCTGCTATCTTGGCAAAGCCTGCGTCGCCTCTCTCTGGTGGGCAGAGCTTTGGTGATCAACTCGGCCGCTTTTTCCGTTCTATGGTTTGCGTTGGCAGTACATCTGACAGTGTTAGGGGATGCGGCGTATAAGCCTATGAAGAAAGCGGCAGCTCGGGTGCTCTGGAAGCGGGAGGGAAGTCCTCAGAGTGGCTTTATATCGAAAATCGCATGGGATCCGAAACAATCACTTTTCCAAGAGATGAGGGGGGCCTGGGAATCCTAGATCCCATCAGGCAGAACATTGCCCTGCTCGCCAAATGGCTTGTAAAGGCTCTGCGACTCACAGCCAACGTGGACTCGCCCTGGCTTAGGTTAACCTTTTATCTGCTGAAAGGAGAGTGGGCCTTATGCAGAGACTGAAAGGAGATGTGCGGACATGCCTGTTGATTAGATCTTACGTGAACAAACACCCAAAATCGAAGTTTTGGAAGGATATCTTAGGGGCTTGGAGAAAGGTCTTCCGGACTGAAAGGGACAGTGTCCCAGGACTAGAGACTCTCTGTGCTCAACCAGATTATCTTTGAGAACCCGCTCTTACTTGATAGTGGGGGGAGAGAGTTTTTCTGCACAAGACGCCTCGGGCTTTTTTTTTTTTTTTTTTTTTTTTTGGATAAATCTTGGATTGAGAGGGGAGTTGTACGGATCAAGGACATCTGGGATGAGGACAAAATAGATTGGTGCCTGCTTCATCAGTCACTGACAGGTTAAAAGCAAACTCTCAAGACTGAAAAATGTCCAGTTCAGATTGTCACAAATTCAGCAAGCTACTCCGGCTTCATGGATTGTCCTATTAACACAACAGCAAGGTTTGCCTGTTGGGCGCCGAATGAAATCGTCATGAATGAGAACAGTACGGTCTACCAGATCACAGATGATCTGGGAGAGGAAGGCCGGGCGGTGAAAGAATGGCAGGTTTCGGAGACCTTCTTTGAGTTTTCAAAGGAGCTGACTCAGATACCCACTTCCTCTCATCTTCCTTCATTAGATGGATTCCAGGAAGTAGCATTTAATTACCATCTGAGGGCACGCTCACACTAGGTACCAAATCCCCATTTCCCCCCAAAAAAAGGGTTCACAGACAGTCACACATGGTGAACATCTGCCCAAATTCTCAAAAGGGGTGACCATTTGTCAGCGGCCTGCGAAGCCGCGGGGGAAGGAAATTTGCGGTAACCTCTGGAGGTTACCGCAAATTCTCAAATCTTTTTCCGAATTCCGTGCAAAATTGGAGAAAAAATGGAACCCCACGATATTAGCGGCCTATCAATTGACGAAAAGGAGATTTGGGGAAATGGGCGCACGCGCGGAGCGGTCAGACGCGCGTGGCCCTTTTTTTGTTTCCATCCCTTGTTGATCCAGTTGTCGTTAGCCTGCCGTGCGGCTTTCGTCGTTATTTTCGCGTTGAAGAACTGGGCGTTACATTTCCGTGTCCGCCTCCAACCCCTTGCGCGCATGTTTTCACATGCCTTGCGCCCGTGTTCCACTGGCTTCCCCGCTTCTCCGCCCTCTTCCCCCCAGTTCCGCCCGCTGTTTCTTGCTGTGTTCCCTTGTCCCGAACGGACGACGAAGGATCGATTCCCTTCAACTGTATTCCAATTTCTGCCCATGGCCCATGTGTTTCGTTGCTTCGCTGCAAGGCCGATGAATGTATGTGGGTCGGAAGTGGCTTCAGATGAACTGTAGTTGTCTGTGTGCCGTCCACAACCCCAAAGCCCCATAGCCCGGTGGCTGTGCCTGGTCCCAAACCAGGTGCACGAAGCCTAGTCAAAGCTGTATCGAGAGAAAAAAATAAATTGTAAAGAATCTGGGTCGAACACGGGTAGAGATGCATGAAAAAAATATAATAAAAATCAAATAAAATCCTGTTATCGATTCTGCTGTGCACTTCATGTATATGCCTGAAAAAAGGGTCCAGGTGCATTCAAATTGTATGTGTCCCGTTGTGCATTTTTGTTCGCACGAGGTGAAGCTGGTCTGTTTTTTGTTTGGAGACCCAAGGGATTCCTCCCTGCTCCAGCAGCAGGGATTGTCGCCATCGCCGTGACATGRCGACAACTACTARCGTTTCATAGCGTCRCTGTTGTCACTGCACACCGCAMGAGCTCTGCCATGGCRTCCTGTGTGTACTTTCTTTCACGGAAATAAAAAAGCGTTATTTTGGAATTTCGTTTTTTTCTTGTTTATGTTTGTGTTTTTTTTATGTTTGTGTATTTCAGGTTTTTTTCCTTTTGTATTCGCTGTTGAAGTCACATCCATGCACTATCATCCAAAAACTATGCGGAAAAAGGGAAAAAAAAAAACGAGTAATCCCACGTCATTCACTTTGCCTTTGTGTCTCTTTCCTTGCCACGTTTGGATTGTGAGCGGGCAGATGTGTGCTTCTGTGGCCACTCGTGTGGTAGATGGAAGACTTTTTTTTTTTTTTTTTTCCCTTCGCCTCTACTGTCGCACCCCACGTTGGTTCACATGGTGAGTCCTGGATGCGTGAACGTGCTCGCGGCTGACGAGTATCGCGAAGTGGGGGGGGGGGGGGGGGGGGGGGGGGGGGGGGGGGGGGGGGGGGGGGGGGGGGGGGAGGGGAGGGGAGGGGGGATGGTGATCGGGCATGTTCGCACTGTTGAACATGCAGGCTGCCCGTTCGTATGCTTCGTCCTGCATATGGTTTAACAGCCAGTCTCTCATCGTCATCCCCCGTCGAAAATGGGGTTTGCGGGGATAATCGGGCATGCAGGAGTGGCGGGAGGGAGTTCATGGGTGCATGGCGTATACGTGATTCACCATCACGAATTTTTCGATTGTCTTTTTGTCCGGCTTTATTGTTCTCCCCTTCTTCTTCTCAAATATTTTAGAGAGGATTGGAAGTGGAAGTGGTAGGGGATTTCCGGCGGGCAGATCGGTGCATTCATGGGAAGCTCCGTGCATGCGTGGGAAGTCCATGGTCTCAGCGGATAAAGGCATTGGAGTGTCTCTCTCTCTCTCTCTCTCTCTCTCTCTCTCTCTCTCTCTCTCTCTCTCTCTCTCTCTCTCTCTCTCCACAAAATCGAAGGTCCTCGGCAGCGAGAAAAA